GGCATACATCACTGCACAGTCTGCACCCAAGGAAAAATTCAGGCTCCTGGTGGAGGTATCATAAAAAAGAACCATCCAGTACCAAAGGGTAATTGAAACCATCCACCAGGAAGCTGAAAAGAAAGGCCTTGACAAGCTGCAGTGCAGGGAGCTCAGAGAAAGCCTCTGCTGAGCAGCATGGCATGCCTTGACAAAAGGCTGAATGCTGTGCACTGGCTGTGCACAATGAAGCAAAGCTCCTTGGCAAAAGGTATAGCTTTCCTTGGCAAAAGGAATGGTTTTTAATGTTCCTTGGCAAAAGGAACTACTTTTCCTTGACAAAAGGATTGTTTAATGCCTACCCAAAAAAGGGTCTGGCTTGGTGCACTGCCCTTCCTCAAGGGTGTCAAAAAGAGCTGGCAGCTTGGGTGGGGGGATGCGTTTAGGTGTTGTACTTGTCTAGGTAATGGAAACAATGTTGGTGTTTTGTTTGTTTTTGTACCACCTGTATCTGTTGGTTGTAGTGGTAGTAGTAGGCTTGCAGCTAAGTAGCTAGTAGGTGTTAGTTGCAGCATCAGCTGCAGTAGGGGTATAGTGTAGTGGTATAGTGTAGTATAGCTGTAGCAAATGCACCCTCAACTATTTATAAGGGGTACTTTGAATTGGGTTCCTGATAGCATTTCTAACCTGATGTGTCCCACCCCAGACTTTTGGCTCAAAAGCTAGAGAGTTTTTTTTTTTTTTCGCGCTTTTTTTTTGGACCAGTGGACCCTTAGGTGGTCTGGAACAACTTGAACCAACTTCTCTTGACAAAAGGGATTGGAACTGACAAAAAAAAACTTTACCTTGCCAAAAGGTGAGCAGCCTGGACCTTGACAAAAGGTTGTCCCAATGCAGTGGGATGATGATGATTGGGAATGGGGGGATGGTGGGTGGAACAACAAGTGGAGGCCAACTGGCAGTGGCACCACCTCCCATGCCAGAAGGGCAAGGATCCAGGCAGCTGCCCAAGAAAGGGACAGGCTAGCTGCCCTGGGGGACAGTGCTGCTTTGGCTGACAAAGCCAAGAAGGAAGCACAGAAAGCTGCTTCTATGAAGAAGCAGGCTGAAGAGGCTGCTGAGCAGGCAGCAAGGACAGCTGCCCAGGCAGCTGAAGCAGCTGCAGCTGCCAGCCAAGCAGCTGGATGGGTGGAAGTTGGGCCATCCAGGAAAAAGCCCAGGAAAGGGCCTCCTTGCCAAAAGGAGAAACCAAACAAAAGGGAACCTCCTTGCCAAAAGGAGCAGCCAAAGAAAAAGGAAACTCCTTGCCAAAAGGAGCAGCAAAAGAAAAAGGAAACTCCTTGCCCAAAGGAGCAGCCAAAGAAAAAGGAAACTCCTTGCCAAAAGGGGCAGGCAAACAAGAAGGAAACTCCTTGCCAAAAGGAGCAAGAAAAGAAAGATGCTCCTGGCCAAAAGGAGCAGAAGGAAAGTGTCCCTCCTGAAGGTTCCAAAGATGGGGTGTCAAAGAAACTTGGCCCTTCAGAGAAGGAACAAGCAAAGGAAAAGGAGCAGAGCAAAGGCTTGACAAAAGCAAAAGATGATTCCTTGCCAAAAGGAAAAAAATCAAGCCAACAGAGCAGTGATGATGGAATGAGTGTGGACTGGGGCAACAGTAGCTCCAGTGCCAGTGCCAGCTCTGGCACACCATCACCTGGCAGCCCTGACCCCTTGACAAAAGGGGATGATGGCAAAAAGGGCTTGCCAAAAAAGCAGCCACCCAAGAGGGTTGCAGTGGACTGGCACAAGGTCCTGGTGCATAACAACCTGTATGACCTCACAGCCACCCCATGGCTGCAGAAGCTCAAGGATGCAGGGTATGAAGTGCACCTGTTGAGCTACTGTGGCTGGAAGAGAAGCCATGAGGTGTATGACTGGGCCTGGTTTGAATGGAATGGCTGGGCCTCAGTCAGCTTCACCTGGAAGCAATGTGGCAAGGAAGGGAAAGCCCAGTGGTGCCTGGACAATGGGGTAAGCAAGCTGGTGGATGACAATGCTGAAATTTGTTCTGAAGCCATTCAGTTTGGCATCCAGGCTTACCCCATTGTGCCTGCTGGTCAGAGAAGGAAAAAGGGGCAGCCTAAGCTCCAAAGCTGCTTCTCTGACTTTGCAGCTGCAGCCATTGACATCCTCAAGGAGGAAAACCCTTGACAAAAGGGCAGAGCCAATGGTGGTCCAGGCAGGCTTGGCAAAAGCATCTAAAACCAAAAGGCTTGACAAAAGCCTCCCAAGCCTTGACAAAAGGCAAAAAGACTTCCTTGCTGCAGCACCTTTGACAAAAAGGTTGCACCAATAGAAAAAAAACCTTGACAAAAGGACAAGAAACTTGACAAAAGGACAAGAAACCTTGGCAAAAGGTTGTAGCATGTTTCACCCTTGTACAGATTTTGTCTAGGCAGGTCTAAGCAAAGACATGCCCCTAGGTTTTTAAAACCTTGCAGTTGCCACAGCCTCTTGATTTTTTTTTGAAACAGTCTAATGTTGTAAGTAAATAAAATCTCCTACAGCACTTATACATACATAAACATATATATGTATACATACTGGTGTGGTCCACAATGTTTGTTAAGGCCCAAGAGGCTGTGGCACTGCAATGGGAAACCTTGGCAAAAGGTTCATGGATGCTGGCAGGATTGCAGCAAAAAAAAATTGGGCTAAGGGTGTTTGATTGGGAGCCCCTCAAAGGTGTGTAATTTGTTTTAATTTTTGAATGGTTCATCAAATAATAAGTGGGTATAATAACCCTTTTGTCAAGGGACCCATTTGTCATCAAAACATTTTTGGGAACCACCACAATGAATTCAGGTGTACATTGGTTTGGGATCTAGGGAAACACAACATATTTCAGTTTTGGAAGCACATTTTGCCTTGACAAAAGGCATTCAGTTTTCATGTGGTTTCTGAAGTAATCAACAGCACATTGCCTTGACAAAAGGCTCAAATATTGTTTCCAAAAAAAATCAGAAATATTTTGGATTGGGAAAAATATCAAAAAATATCAAAAAAAGAAAACTGATGAAATCTGATGAAAACCTATGATTTCATCAGATTTCATCAGATTTCATCAGATTTCATCAGTTTTCATTTTTTGATATTTTTTGATATTTTTTGAAATATTTTTGAAATATTTTTTTAAATATATAGTGGTTTCATTGTTTGGAAAATGTTGTAGTTGTTGGTCCAACCCAACTAGTCCAATATATGTTTTTATTTTTAACACATATGTTCAATCCAAACAGTCCAATATATATATATATAGATTCAACACATTATTTACTTTAGTTTGCATTTACTAGGCCCCATAGCATGCAATGTTTGTGATGGCGCATCAGGTTTGCCAAACCTCAGCCATTTTGTTTCTCAAGCAATTCAAAAGTGTATTAGTGCACCTTCTCCCTTGGCCAAAGGGAAATGGGCAAAGGTGGAAAAGGAAACCAAAAGAGCAAAGCCTTGGCAAAAGGCAAATTTGCAATGAAAACCTTGCCAAAAGGTAAAGCCAAGGCCAAAGCTAAAACTAAAACCAGGACAGGTTCTAGCAAGGACACACCCTTGACAAAAGGAAAGCAGAAAAATGCTTTGAACAAAAAAGCATTGGATGACCTGGGGGAGCTAAGCCTGAAAGAAAGAATCAAGAAAGCCACAGAAGGAGCTGAGACTGCAGAAGAGGCAGTGCTAGCATTGAAAATACAATTGACCCCCAAGGAGCAGCAAAGCGCATGGTCCAAAATGAAAACCAAAATGAAAAATGACCCAGCAGAAGCAAAGAAGGTGGAAAACATGTCCAAGAAGGAAATTGGCATCTATGCCACCATGTGCCTCTTGAAGGCTGAGGCTCCCAAGTTCATGGCCTTAAAGCAGGAGTTGAACTCAGGTGTCTCCTTGATAAAAGGAGAAACATGGGAGTCAGAACTTCAGATGCTGCAGAAATTTACCAGAGAAGAGCTGGAGCTTCACTTGGCCTCTGGTCGAGTGAAGTGGAGAGCAGACCCATGGACAGGGGGATGCTACCAATACCAAGACCAGGGGGACATCAAGAAAACAAGTACTGTCACCCATAGCAATGCATATGCTTGGGGGCAGGAATATGAAGCTGAGAATGAAGAAGCTTGGGACAGCCACTTCACCAAGGACCTCAGCAGCCACCTTCTGGAACTGGAAGGCAAAGGGAAGGGCAAAGCCTTGACAAAAGGAAAGCCAGCCTCAAAGGGAAGGGGCAAAGGCAAAGCCAGAGGACAGCCTCAACTGGCTTTGGAAGATGGTGACCCCAATGAGGATGATGACAATGATGATAAGACAGAGGACCAGGAGTGGTCCACATGCTTGACAAAAGCAAGGAAAGCCAGGGACCTCTTGGTGAGCAGCCAGGCCAATCTGCAGGAGGATATGGCAAAAGCTGCCAGCTGCCAAAGGCTGAGCAAGGGCACCAAGAAGGATGCAGACACACTGCTCAGCAAAGCCCAAGCAATGGAGAAAAAGTGCAAAGACCTCTTGCTCAAGGGGAAGAAAGCTCTTAGCTTGACAAAAGCTAAAGGTCTGATCCAGGATGCCACCACACTGAGCAAGGAGCTGAAGGATCAGAAGAAGGAGATCTCAGTTGTGGCAAACAAAGCCTACTCCAAGGCAGGAACAGCCAAGTGATCCTCGGCAAAGTTGCATTACCTTTGACAAAAAGGTCCCAGCAGCCTTGGCAAAAGGCTCCCTTGGTGCACATGTTTTTGAACAGCTGCAAGGCAGACCCAGCTGTGTGTTAAAAAAAATGCTGCAGCTTACAGCCAGGATGTAAAGTAATAACCCCAAAAAACCCTCAAGAGGAATGGTGTTGTTTTTGTGTTTTTTGGGTTCTTAAAGGGTTTGTGGTGGTCCAAAGGGTTGATGTATGGGGAATGCTTTCCTAACTAAAATGTAGATATATGTCTGCAGCTTTTTGGCTCAATTTAGTTAGGAATCTCTTTCCCTTGGCAAAAGGCAAAACCATTAGCAAGAAGCTAGTGGTCCTTGACAAAAGGAGGTCCTTGTCAAAAGAACATAGAAAACCCTTGACAAGAGGGTGCTTCAAATCATGGACCTCCCCAAGGCTAAAAGATTGAGAGGTCACCAGTTGGAGCTTGAAAAAAGGAAGGGCAAGCCCTTGACAAAAGGTGCACAGGCTGAGAAAAGTGGCTTGGTCACCAAGCTCTTGAGCCTGTGGGCCCATGGGCAGTTGTCTGCCACCCTTTGCCAGCAGCTTGCCCACCTGGCTGTCTTGGATGGAGCCCACCATGAGGAATTGATACAGATGGCATCTGCTGGCAACTGGGGCGAGGCCAGTGGCAACTGCCACAGAGACTTCATGTCAACACATTGCAAGAGCAATGCATTGACCAAAGCCTATGAAGTAGATGTGCAGGTCAGGGACCCAAAGACTTCAAAGGTGGGAGTTGAAACTGCTTCCCTGTACTTGCCACATCTGCTTTTTGCAGACCTTGCTACATCCTACTCAGAGCAGTTTGAGAAAATCTTTAAATGCTCTGAGCTGGCAGCATTCTGGAAAAATGTGGAAGCAGTCAAGGATGAGAGGCTGCAAGGCCACCCCATCTGCCTTGACAAAAGGCAAGGCCTTGCCAAAAGGCATGTGGTGAATGCTGAAAGAACAGTGCCACTGTTCATTCATGCAGATGGTGTGGAGTTCCAGACCAGGGACACTATCATGTGCTGGAACTGGGGAGGGTTGCTTTCACAGTTCAGCAGCCTCCAAAGCCACATGCTGATCTGTGCCTTTCCAAAGTCTTGCACCATGGAGTCGACCTGGACACCCATCATGAAGTACATCAAATGGTCACTGGAAAGTTTGCAAGATGGCTTTCACCCCTGTGTTGGGCCAGACAATGAGCCCTTGCCAAAAGGGTCTATGTTTGAAAAACTGGCTGGAACACCACTCACTCCTCAAGGCTTCAGAGGTGTGGTGTGGTCCATCCAAGGGGACCATGAGATGTACAGCCTGGTGCTGGGCCTCCCTCATTGGAACAGCAAGTTTCCCTGCTGGGAGTGTGACTGCCAGCAACCCTTGACAAAAGGGGTGCCATGCCCTGAAGGAAAATCTTTTAAGTTGCTGAAGGAAGAAGAGCAGGCCTTTGAATGCTTGAGCCATGCAGAAGCCTTGACAAAAGGCATGGAACAGCACCCTCTGTTCCAAATTGAAGGCTTGAGCACCAAGATGGTGAGGCATGATGGCCTCCATGTCTTGTTTGCAAAGGGTGTCTGCTCACACCTTTGTGGCAGCATCTTACATTTCTTGTGTTACCTCGATGGAAAAGGAAAGCAATCCATCAGACCAAGTGACAGGCTAGCACTTATATTTTCCCAAGTCCAGGACCAATACAAAAAGCAAAAAAGACCCACAAAGCTCACAAACCTAAAGCTTTCCATGGTTTGTGATGTGAAGAGTCCACACAAGGAATACCCAAAGCTGGACTGCAAAGCAGCAGAGTGCAAGCATTTCATGCCTGCTCTTCTGCCTGTGATCAAAGCCATGCTTGATTCAACAGATGAGGTGCACCAACATATGGTGCATGCTCTGTCAAGCATGGTTGATTTGATCCAGCTTTTTGATGATGCTGGGATGTTCCTTGACAAAAGGACATATGGCCAGGCCAGGAAGCTAGCCAGGCAATTCTTTTCCAGCTACTCCTGGCTGAATGAGTGGGCAGAAGAAGCTGACAGATATTTGTTCCACATCACCATGAAGTTTCACACCTGTGGTCACATGGTCAAGAGCTCCTGTGATATCAACCCCAGGTGTTGCTGGAACTTTAGGTCAGAAGATTTTGTGGGCAGGATGAGCACTTTGGGATCCAGTGTGGTGCATGGAGTCAAGTCTACAAGGCTGTGCTCCAAAATCAATGACAAATACCAAGTGCTCCTGCACCTCCAGCTCGACAGGCTGGGGTTTGACAATGCGCATTGGGAGCCAAGCATGGAAATACCTTGACAAAAGGGTTTATCCTTGCCCACCCTGCTCACAAAATCTTTCCTTGGCAAAAGGGTCAGCTCCTTGTCTACCAGGCACACCTTGACCAAAGGATCCTGGCATCTCCCTTTGACAAAAAGGAATTTCCTTGTGGGAACTCCCTTGGCAAAAGGGTTTTGGTCAACAAGAAGCCTTGGCAAGAGGCTAGCCTTGACACAAGGCTTGCAGAGCTTCCTTTACAAAACAACATAGGTGCACCTTGACAAAAGGTGTGTGCCTTAAGCCCACAAGTGGCTCTTCTGTGGGACAAAAAAGGGTGGTTTCCTAGGTGGTTTCCTGTTGATTTTTTTCCTAGAAATATTGATTTTCATATTGATTTTCTTGTTGATTTTCCTGTTGATTTTTCTGTTGATTTTTTTGTTGAAATATTGATTTTAAAAATCAATATTCTGTTGATTTGAAAACCCTATGAAATCAATATGTTCTGTTGATTTTTTCAAGGAATCAATAAGCTCAAAAACTTATTGATTAGGATCAATATCCGATGGACAGGGTGATGATACCCAAAAAAATCGCCAACTGCACCCACAAGTATATATTATATATACATATAATTATATATATATGTAATATGATTGCAATTTTACCAAATACACCAATGCATTGACCCTAGATGTAAAAACTATCAAACCATTGTAAACTCAATATAACACCCCAGAAATTGATAAAATAATCACCATCCCCACTTCCTTCTCCCAGCGATGCACCTCGTGACCATCTCCAACACAACTCTCGCGGTGCGCCAAAGGAGGCGAAAACGCCCAACGTCACATGAGCGCCACCGCTGCGGCCATCGAAGTTGTCCTGTTTTCACATATGAAAAATGGGATTCACCATCCAACATTTGGATTCAAATAGGACGCTAAGTAGTACAAGTGAGAATTTAAGTAGGATAAACATATAGATTTTCCAAAAATGATGTGTGATGATATGTTACAAGATAGTGAAGCCTGAAAATAGGTGCAAGTGGGGTGTGTTTCTGGGAACGTGCCCTTTATAAATGGGTTCACATACATTTGGGAATGCACGTGTTGATGATTAAAAAAACGATCCCACTGCGACTGGGTTTGCACACATACCTAAATACATATCACCATTATGTATGATAATAACTCCGCATGTTTGTTCGTTAAATCCAAACCATCCACCAACAATTGTAGCCCAAAAGATGTTCTGGAGGTATGTAGGTATATGGAGGTTTCCTAAAATAGGGGTACCCCCAAATCATCCATTTAGTTCGATGGATTTTCCTTGAAAAAAACATCCAGCTATTGGGGATTTCATTTACGGAACCCACCATTTATTATTATCTATAGTATAACACTATAAGATATACTGTAGATCATCTATTAGATATGATATACTAGAGGTTTACTATAGATATACTTTTATATACTATAGATATACATCATTTACGGAAACGACCATCTTATGTGCCATAATGTCCCGCCGTGACTTGCTATAAATATCTAACGCGCAGAAAATTCCTTCATCCCAGGCCTTATGGTAGGCTGCATGGTCATCCGTACCACCACGATACCTGGCAGCAAGCTGCCGAAGACTTTGCCCTCTGGTAAACATACAAAAAAAAAATCTGGAAAATCACCATTTTTTTAATGGGTAAATCAACGAACTCAATGACCATGTTCCATAGCAAAATGTTAGTTTACCAGAGGGTAACCACCAAGAATTGTTTTAAGCCGGCAAGAATTTGACATGAATTTCATCAGCAAGAAATTGGGTTTCAACTACCAACAACATGATTTGCTATTGTCAGTTTTGACCAACAACATTGATGTGTTTGGCATCGTCTGACAACCAGAGATGACTTTCTCCCAGCAAATGGTGTTTTACACACTCTAAGTTCGATATATATATATATATAACCTGTTCAAAATGGCTTTGGAAAGTGATTGTCAGATTCCATGTTGAATTGCGTCTATATAGGCCGGAGATGAAGTATCGTCATCCCTCGTAGGGATGGACATGAGACATAATTGAAACTACCAACCAAATGGGAATATCACCGCCAATCATGGAATGCTGGCTCTTTTTTCTTCGTGCAGTGTAAACTATTAAGATATTTTCTGATAATCTTAATTATTTTTATATACTATGTGATTGCGACATTTGAAGGCTTCATCTGCGGTTTCAAGATGAAAACTGTTGCAAACAGCATTTTGCATTGAATGGAACTTCCAAAGTCCTCTTCCAATGCCTCTGTCGCACTAGTTGAGGCTGCAATCACACAAACATTGATCTGAAAACGGTGGGTATCAATGACCCATCCATAATTCTACTTCAACAGCCCCACTCTGGATTTTTTCTTTGGCCACTGCATCAGAAAATTACCCAAGGTCCTCCCGTTAAAAAACAAAAAAAACGGAAAATCATCTCTGAATTTCAATCAGGTGCGATTCGCAATGCTCAATGGGAAATCTTCCAGAATCCACCCACCATCCCTTGGATGAAATAGCCTGTATCACAGGCTACAGCTTCCTCGGCAAGACTATCCCATCTAAAGCTGAATAGTTATATAAGAAGTAGTATAACCCTTGTGCTAATCATCCAAAAGATGATTCATTGCTCAAAGGATTTTAATGGCTTACTCAATCCAAGTGGCAGATTCACCCAACATCGATGCAAATCCATGCGAAAAATCCTGAGGCGCAAGGTGGGTTTGCTTTTTCCTGAAGAAACTTGAGATGGATTTGTCAAGAAAATTGGATAGTCCCTTTCCCGTTGTATTAGTTTTGGACCATATTGGATCTATATGGATTCCTTCATTTTGGGGATGGGGAGAATTTAAAATTAGGGTGTTTATCTCTTTTTTTTGTCCTACCATTAATGTTTTGGCGAATCTAGTCACATTTTTGTTGATCAACTATCCCCTATCGCCTTGAATTTTCGTAAGGGACCCTTACAAAATCAAACATATTCCTGTGTTCGATTCCCCAGTCGTAGAGGATTTCCCCTTGGGAAAATAAACCATATCATCGACTCGGCAAATTCAGGTCGCATGGTACCAGCTGAAGTTGACTTAGCCAACTCCTGCGCCGAGCATCGCACACAACTCCTGCACCACCTGCAGCAGAACTGGAGATCCACTCTTTTCAACCTCAGGTGAAAAAGAAATGCTGACCTCGGGTCTCGGGTGGCTTCAAGATGTGAACGTATTACATCGTATTAAATAAAATAGCCAAAACATATGGTGTAATTTTGCTTTTTTAATCAAAACCCTGCCATGTTCATCCTCAGACATTTCGAAGGTCATCAGGCAATCGCTTCTACGTCAAACAACCACACAAGCAAGGAAAAACAAAGCGTAATCTTTATATGTTTATTCAAATGCAACCAGTTCAAATCCCTGGCATTGTTGGTATTTGTTGCTGAAACTGCAACTTTTCATTGATGAGCATTTCTGTCCATATTTTTCACCCATCCCTACGGATCCAGCTGTAGCTTCTTATGAAGTGTTTAGGCTACAGTAATGGCCATGGCTATTAGTTATAACTTATAACTTATAACTGGTTATTTCTGTGGGATTATAATGGATTATACATTCCATAGACGGGGTGACTTGTTAGTACTTATAATTGGCATTTGGGGCCATAACTGTGTGATGACTAGGGGGTTAGCCGTAGCTTCTCAGACAGTGGCCATGGATCCATAGGGGGTGTCAAATCCGCCCAGGCCATGACAAAATCTTGCGGCAAGTGTCCGCCTCCATAGCACAAGCACAGCCTCTTCGATCCGGGCGATACACCTGCGCAGAATATTTTAAGTCTGAACAAATGGGGGGTGAACTGGTGGTTTAATGGGATTCAATGAGGGCAAAAGCGGAGATTTTTCGTGGGAATAGGATTTGAAGTGGATTTAATATGGTAGGGATTTCATTTGATTTACATTGATTTACAGTAGCGGCATGAATACCATCCCCCGAACTTAAAAAAATCCCAAGAATCACATCTTTTTTGAGGAAGGTAGTCTTCCAACCCCCATATGGAACCTTAAAATTAGCTAGATCCAATCCCAAACCCATGGTTTCTAGGGGAATATCTTAAATGTGGCATTTCTATCATGGGTGTTGAACCCATTGAACCAACTGAAACACCCCAGAAAGTTCTCGGGTTTCACCGGGTTCACCCAACATCTTCCAACATGGATTCGAAAAGGACCCTCTTAAAGGTCCAGTTATGGCCATGGCTATTAATTATAACTGGTTATTTCTATGGGAACATATAAACGAGGTTTTGTTAGTACTTATAATTGGCATTTGGGGCCATAACTGAAAGTCCCTCATTTTGTGAATTTCAAAGGCATTGCGGATACTGAAACCATGTTCTGCAAGGTGTTGGCCCCATACTTCGCTAAGTTGCTTCATATCTAGGCCAACTACTGTTGTCAAACAAAAACTCGAAGTACTGGTTTTAAGTTTCGACGCAATGTTTCCTGGGGAATCTTGAATCCTCAATCTTGGATCCAGTGGGACTTTCCTTCTAGTTTAAGGTCTCAGATGATATCAAATCTCCTTGAAAATTGTTGGGAAAATGCCGCTTATGGAATTTAATGGGATTTAATGGGACATTATCCACAGTTTAAAACCATTTACAACTTAATATTATAGTTATACATGGAGTTATCATTCCATAAATGGGGATAGTTCGGGCCATGTCTCAACCACAGCCCCAGGCTCGACCAATTCCCAGACCTGCAGTTTAAAACGTTTGTCGAAGGTATCGCCGGGACCAAAGCCTGCAGCCGTTTCAGGTACCGATGGATTGGAAGCTACCATAAGTAGCTCTATGTACGGGCTATGATTCAAGGGATATTCCCAAGTTTCCAATGTCTATAGCATTAAAAAAAACTTGGAGTATCAATAAACACGAATATCAAACTGCCAACAGAATCAACACAAGAGGATACCATCAATTAGTACAAACATGTTTAAAAAAACGCAAGATGTTCAGTGGAATGGGCCAACGTAAACCGTATTTGCTGTTGCCCAACCCTCCTAGATGGAAAGGCGTACTGAGCCAGTGTTTGACTCATCCCCCACTCACTACTCGTAGCAGAATGCCTAGCATAAAATCGAATCGATGGCCTAGTTGCAGTAGTTCAACCAACTTAGCCCATGATTGGAAGTCCCTTCTCCTTCTAGTTATCTTATTTGGTTTTATCCCCTGAATAATCCCATCGTATCCCTTTTTCTGCTGTTGAAATCCAGTTTTTCCCCCGTCTTTGTTGGCTCCCAATTTTTGTGGCGCCAAGAAACTCAATTCATCCCTCAATGCGGTAAAGATCTCCAGGTCCTGCATCTGACGAGGTCAGCTGTCAAAAAAAATGTTGTCTTCCCAAGAAAACATAGATTTCACCAACAGAAATTGGGATTGAACCAGCAAAAATGTTGATTTGATATGATTTAATAAAAAATAATATCATAAGTTTAAATATGATTTACCCTCTGGTTATTTAACGTAGCTATAGAAAATCACAATTTACTTCCATCCTAGTTTTTATGACATTCCTGCCAGAACTTCACTGGCCAAGCGGCACTGCAGCCTCACGTACACGAACAGTCCCTTGTCACATCTATGTTCCACCTGCTCGGATCGTTTATTTTTCATTTCTCATAATTTGTCATCAATCAGGACAAAGTTCCACGGTCACCTTCCGTGTGCATCCGTCCTTGTTCGTCCTTGCCGTTTACAAAGTCCGGCCTTTCTTCGCCACGTTTTCTTGAGAAGATGTAGGAGGACATAAAAATCAAAATAGAAAGTTGCCGTGCTCCCTGCTCACCTTTCCTTCGTGCATACAATAAATTCGACATTATCAATTCCTGATTGCAAAGCAACTTTGCTCACCCCTTCTTCGCACTGATCCAGAACGCCACCCCACCAGAAACACCCCATGATTTTTTCTACCGGAAGCCATGTTTGATAAATCTTCACTGCTGACACAATGCCCCAAGATGAAATCTCCCTTAGTACACATCCTTTTTGTCTGCCACTTCAGAGCATTTCTCAGCCGTACTTGCAAAAATCGTTTCGTCCTTAAAAAGATTTGTTTTTGATGGATCTGTCAGCTGCACTACTCAACACTCAAAGACTTCTCGGTATTATCTTGCTCGGTCAAAAAAGATGACAAAGCACTGCAACGATCCAGGACCGTCACCTGTTTGTATTCAACCACGCTCATCTTCTTTGGGCTCCAGCCCCACATGTTTATTCGCATCCAACAGAACAACATTTTCCAGTGCCATCATGTTGTCATGCCCTTCCATATCACGGTCTACACTATAATCAAATCACTTCGCCCTGTCATTCCAACCACGTCATTGACACAAAAAAGCAAAAATTGATCGTTAGCCTCTCACATTTTGCATCATCATACAAGCCTATCAATACCATGTTCAACTGCGGCGTGTTACTGCATCCCGCGATTCAAAAACATATTGTAAGCATTCAGCAATTGGGACTACATGTGCGAACAGACGGTCAACCCATCATCCTCCATGCAAAAAAAACATGGCTCGAAAAGGCAGACGCTGAGCACTCGGAGAAGGTTTGGCATGGTGCGTCCTGCTCTCAGCCGAGCAGCCAAAACATCTGTAGGATCTAGGGAAGCTGCAGCAGAGCGTTCCTTGGCATGCCGCTTTCGCGGCACTGGCGCGTCTTTTCATGCGGCGGGCTTGCTGCCGCCGGAAGTGCAGGGCGAGGCCATTTTGTGGCTCTCCTCTGCCATCTTCGCCTCATTTTGAGCTTGCAGCTATGGAGAAAAAGTTTTGCATTCCCCAAGCATGGGCTGCACCCAGGAATGTCACTGACTAGAAGAAAGAATTCTTACATGTGTTGGCTGTTGACTCACGTCAATGTTACTAAGTACCATCGAAAAAACCGGGATGAGTTGACTAGAGACAAACACGAATTGGTCGTCCAGAACCAGTACCATCCCCTCAGCCTCGCGAAAAAACATCAGAAGGATGAAGTCATCCAATATTGCTCTGCACCGCCTGAAGCTGTCGCCACAAAGCAACCCCGCCCAGAATACACGCCTACATATTTGTGCATTTGAAAGCCAGCGGATATGACTATGCAATGTGGACACCTGATGCCGAAATCGTTAAGACAGCAAACTATTTGAAGACCTGATGTCTGAATGGTTGGGATGCCAACAGTGAATTCTTCCGAGGCCAAACCAAACACCTAACTACAAGCCCGCAAAACCATTCACAAAAAAAACTAAGGATGCAAGCAAGTGTGTAAACTCAGTACCACAGATTTGCGGCGGCATGTTTGGGCAAAATCAAGAACGGCAACGCAACCTTTTTTTTGTGTCTGCTGGTTGTCGGCGATGAGCTATGAGTGCAAAGGCAGGATCATTGATGTTGCTGCAGCCAGCATGGTCCTTCCTTTCTTCCAGCGGCATGCTCACCAAGCTGCGTATTGCAGCTCCCCAAGCTGCCAATGTAAACGCCTGATCGGTGCACTCAGTCATGCCATCCTATAATAGATGCAAATTTCCAGTCAACATATTGATGCCACCTGCTCAATGATCTATCAACTTTCAGACCCCCCGCGCTGAACATTACACTTGCAATACGTCAGCACAATTATTTTGAACATAATATGTTCATACCACCTGCAATGAGAAAAAATACATTGAGAATCGCACTCCGATGCATTCCTGTTTCCATATTCAGCAGACGGTCGCTGCTCACCCCATACCAAAAAATAAGAAGATGGTCAAAACTTGGCCCTCTATCTTCTCCAGCTATTCTAAAAGTTGTTTACAGACATTCTACTTGCCCCCCCCCTTCACCAGCCAATGAGTGTTTTTTTCTATCTTCTATCCAAACAACAACTGCTGCTGGATTTTTTCTATTTCTTCTGCCACCATGTCCTGCGTAATGACAACAATTTCAAATCCCTTTCTTCATGCATCAATTCTTGTTCATCTTTGTCCATCGCCAGGCCCAACCTTTCCTTCTGGCATGTGTCCTCAGACATTCAAACGACGAAATGATGTAATTAGACATGTGTGTTGACACCTGCCCGCATTTTCTTCATACAGATTTCCGCATTAGCACAAAACAAATGCAAAATGCATTCCCACCCGCCCCTTCACACCACCCTAAACCCAGAAACAGAACCTCGTGATTTTCTGCCTGTTCCCATTTCCGAAAGCCTTCGCTCCTGACACACCGTCACAAACTGATAACATGCCGACCATTCAAACTACAAAATCACTCATCACACACACACACACCTGATGCAAATGGTCAAGTCAACTGGTACTCGGTACCCTTTATTGCATTGCCTTCTTTTCCAGATACATCATTGGCACACGGACAAACCACAAAGACCAATACTTTCTCAATAAACCTTTTTGCATCATACTGACTTACCGATACGATTAAAACAGTCAAACGCCATTGCGTTCCAAATCGGGCTTCAGATTGTCACTTCAACCATCGCACTTCTCCAATCAGAAAGCCAACCCATTCTTAGTACTCGAAAGATAATCGCTTCTCTTATGCATTCACTCATGGATGCTTTCAATCAGGAAACATCTGGGCAAACAAATTCACAATAATGTGCCCATCCAGTTCAATAGACTTTAACCATTGGTAACACCCAAGCTTCAAATCACTAGGGCTAATCTCCCGCATCTTTTCTTCAATTCAGCACATAAGCCCATTCGCAACAAATCCGCGAATTACTTCCTCCTTTCTGTATCCAGCAAAACTTCACCGCTCACTCAACACCGGGAGTCCACATACATCCATACCACATTTATTTTTTCACCAGATGAGAAAAGATAATGGTAGACAGGCTGGTCGGCTGGCCGGCTGGCCCATCCTTTTTGCATTTTCCTGCCCTTGTCTTTTTTATCATGATCTGAACTGAATACTTCTGTTGCTGTCAGCAATCCGCTGGCGGTCGTAACACTGGCCCATCATCACCTCACATATGCATTGTGCATATTCACCTTTGACTTTACACCATCAACAAATAAGGTAACATCTACGCTGATCCTTGCTCGCTCTTTCTTCACCCATGTTCCAACATCAGCACGTAGAAATTGTAGTAAGCTCTCTTGCCTTCCTTTTCTCCACACCGCATCCAGCAATCCGCCCCTATTCAACACTCACAGCCCCATGAACCCACATCCAGCAGCCACATACCCAGTTAATCTTCACCGTTCATCAATATCACAAGCAATGGGATAAACATCCGCAATTTAGCGCATAGAATCTCTGAAAACACCCACTGGTTTCTGCCGGTTGCAAAGCCATGCGCGTTCGATCAAATGGCAGCACAAAAATCAACGGTTCCTTTCCAGCTTCAAACACTCTAGCATATATCCTAACTACAAATCATCATCACCGCTCCTTGCTAACGTTTTCTTCACACGGCAACACATCGAAATACCCATGGTTCTTCCCTCTCCTTCAGGCACTTTACATCATTAGAACCTGGCAGCTGAATCTCCTCGCTCACCTTTTCGTCACGTGCTCACCTTTTCATCACACATTCATCAGTCCATCTGTAGCTTTTTCCTTTCATAGCTTTCCATAATCTCTGCTTCTCCGCTCATATTCTGTCAATGCCCCATCGGTCCATTCTTCCTTTTTCACATCCAACTTCTGCAAATTCGTTTCTGGTCATCATTCCGCACTCGCTTCTCTTCAATCTTTTCACATTTTGCCATGAGCAAGAACCATCCGCGTTCTCCTGATCTGATGCCACAACTTATTTCTTTGATCTCACTGAACGCGACCACAGGTTGGTGCAACCTGCCAGACGACCTCAACCCACCTGGAAGCCTAATTTCTGGTATTTACTTGACAGATGCAATTTTCATTTCGAATGTAATGTGAAATCCCTTTACAGCCACAACAAAAACTATTCACAATTTGTTTTGCACCTGTTCTCTCATTGAGAAAAATCGCCGATACAATGGATTATAAACTCGTAAAGGCACATTAATTGAACCTTTAGCTGATGCCAAGAAATTCATTAACCGTGCAAATTCCCACACTGCATTAAATCCAAGAATCTTAAAATCCCAAATTTTCTTATAATGTAATGTACCCTACATCCAAGATTCATTCACCTCCATTACCGATTTTGGTCTTTCCATGATTTTCAGCATCGCTCCCTGTACGTATGCATGCAAAACAAACATACATGTAAATATACACCTTTTTTGATTTCTTTTCATATGCATATATGTAAATATTATGCCAACAGTTCCTCTCGACCACCTGCCCCGTTCTATTTTCGACGCATCCAGACAGGGGTATGCCTGAGTT